AGCTGAGACCTGCCTTTCATCTGGAACAAATCAACAAATATTGGAGACTCATTCATTTATTCAACATTACTATAAGTCAAAGTGGAGATATAAAACAGACAAAAATCCCTTATGGATCTTATATTCCAATGAGAAAACAAGAAAAATAAACAATGAAAAACAGCAAATTCCCGGTATATGAGACAGTAATATACCAGAGAAAAGGGAGAGAGTAACAGTGAGGGGGAACCAGACTGTAGCATTTTTAAACAGAGCACCTACTATATGACATACTCATTATTTGTCTCCACCCCTAGAACATCAGCTCCCTAGGGCCAAGGACTCTGTCATGTATCCCAGTGCCTGGTATCTGATATGTAGTTAAGGCTCAATAAATATTGAATGGATGGTCCAGCTGGTATGGCTCAGTGGATTGAGCTTTGTCCCATGAACTTAGAATTCCTGGTACAATTCCTGGTCAGGGCACATGCCCAGGTGTGGGCTTGATCCCCAGTGGGGGGCATACAGGAGGCAGCTGATTGATGTTTCTCTAGCACATCAATGTTTCTATCTCTCCCTTCCTCTCTAAAAAATCAAGAAAAACATATTTTAAAAAATACTGAATGAATGAAGATAGACATTGTCCTTGTTTAGATGAAGCTTACATTTTAGGGGGAGAGACCAATAGCAGACATGCAAATAAATGTAAAGTTACAATCAGATGTGTACTCTAAAAGAAATGAAATGTTGTGATAAATAATTGGAGGGGTGGAGGGACCTACTTCAGTTAAGATAATCCAAGAGGGATTCCCTGAGCAGGTGACGTGGTGACACTTGAGCTGACACCTAAGTATGAGAAGGAGCTAGCCTCATGCAATCACTGCTGAGGAACACTGCAGCCGGAGAAGGCAGCCTGTGCAAAGGCAGAAGCTGGCGGCTTTAAGAGCAGAGAGGCTGCCCGGCCGGTGTGGTTCAGTGGTTGAGCTTCGACCCATGCACCAAGAGACTGCCAGTTCAATTTCCGGTCATGGCATATGCCCAGGTTGTGGGCCCAATCCCCTGGGGGGGCGGGCGGCATGCAGGAGGTGGCCAATCGATGTTCTCATTGATGTTTCTATCTCTCTCTCCCTCTCCCTTCCTCTCTCTCTAAAACCAATAAAGAAAACAAACTTCTTTTAATTAAAAAAAAATGAGCAGAGAGGCTGGAATGGAGTGAGTGGGGAGAAAAGGGGGCCCAGGTGCAGCTGCGGAGGCTGGCAGGGCCTGCAGGTCATACAAGAAAGTATGGGGCTTTGAGTTAAAAGCTAAGAGCAGTGGGAAGCCATTGAAACATCAAGCAGAAGGGTAAAACATTCTGATCTCTCTTTTTAAAAAAAAAAAGTCTCCTAATCAGCCAAATGGAGAGTAGGATGAGAAAGCAGAGACCCCTGGGCAGATGGGTCTAATTAAGGGGCAGTGACACTGAGCCCAGCAGTTCAAGGTGTGTCTGGGCCCTTCCTGTGCACTGACTCTGCTGTGCTGGTTCCGTACTGAGGCTGGCACAACTGAGGTTGCCACGGCCTGGAGGAGGCAGAGCTGAGGACTCCTGGGCTCTTGGTCTCCTCTCTTATGAGCACTGATGAGCTCCAGGCTAAGCCAGAAAGGGGCCAAAAAGACAGCAGGCAAGGACCAGAGGCAGAGAATTAAACAAAGACAGTCACAGGGAGAGATAGAAGCAAGAAAAAGGTGATGGGGAAGAAGTGGAGACAAAGATACTAGAGCAAAGAGGAGACAGAAAAACCGCCCAGAAAGTGAAACTTAAGCTGAGAAATCTGGTGAACAGCAGTAACAACCAAGAATGCTGCTGTTTGCAGAGGACTCGAACAGGAGCCTCTGACAAGGGTATACCAGTGATTCCACTTCTTTGGATGTGGAAACCAAGCCTCATAATGCACTTGCCAAAGGTCACGTGGCTAGTAAATGGTGGGCCCAGGACTCACAGCTAGACCTGACTGATTCCACACCCTTCCGCTCTGTGCAGGAGAAGTCTTCAGGGCAGAGACTGTGATGGAAGGAGAAAGAACACAAGCAACAGGTGGACAAATGAAAAGAGAACATTCTGCTTCACTTTTAAAAGACCACAAATTTCTAGAATCTTAGAGAGAAGAGGGAAGGAAAAGGAAAGTCCTGCCCTGGAGTGACCCAAATCTAAGGAAAAGGAGACGGCACCACAAGCAGGGCCAAGCCATGAGGAAATTCAATTACTTTTAACTCATGAAATATTTGTGACACCTACCCTGTGCCAGACCTCATATCAGGTGCTGGTGTCATGGAGATACAGCAAGCAGGGTTCCACTCTTGCCTGGAGGGAGAAATGGGCTCATAAATAAATAAGAGACGGTGTCCCAAAGGCCGTAACACCTGTCCAGAAAAAACACAAAGGCAGCAAGTGCTGACTCAACCTAGGGATTCAGGAAATAACATATTTGAACCTGGGGTTTCCTAGATAGGCAAGGCAGGGAAGAGCATATCAAGCAAAAGAAGCAGGCTGACTAAAGGCACAAGACACAGAAGTTCTGGGAAAGGTTGGTATCAGGTACAGTTGAATCACGGGCTGTGCATGGTCCAACAGCAGAAGATAAAGACAGTGTGGGAGACATTGCAAAGGTCTTGAAGGCAGGGCCAGGACAATTGGACTTGGACACTTAAAGCAATAGTTTTCAAACATGCTCTTGGGGGGACCCAAGTGTTCCTCAAGCCAAGTTGAGATGTTTTACCATTGAATTAAAACCAATCATATTTTTTCTAATTTGCAAGAAGGTAAATTAATTACAATGAATATAATTATTTTGTTTGTTTTAAGGTGTTTTTCCTCCATACATTTTCTGAAGACTTTAGTGTGAAAGAAAGATAAAATTAGCATAGCATCATAGTTTTGTTTACAATTTTAAGTTTAATATATCAATAGTTCATATTTTACAATGAATTGTAGCTTCTGGTTTTCCCTAAAGGAACTGGGGAGGCAGAAAGAAGGGCTGGGATCTGTTAGGAAGAAGGCTGCTGATATAGTTTAAACAAGAACTGATGGCCCGAACCAAAAATGAGGGCTCTCAGGGTGGATGGGGGCTAAGTCCAGCCCAAAGAGGAAGACCTGCTGGATGATTTTTCCAGGCTTCCTGGCCGGGCTGCCCACAGAATTCAGAGGAGCCAATTTGGTACAGAAGATAATGTCAACAGCTCAACATCACCTAGGGAATCTTACAACAGAAGTCGACCTTGTTGTCACTGTGAAAATAGAAGATAAGCAAACTGGGTATTGTGTGTGTGTGTGTGTGTGTGTGTGTGTGTGTGCGCGCGCGCGCGCGCACGCGCGTGCGCGCACGCCCACAATTTGAGACCAAGTCTTTCCCCCATCATGGGACACCAAATCTATAATAAAAGCAAGTAAAGACACATTTTGAGCATGTCCTATGAGCCAGACCCTAGTTTGTGTGTTTTACATGTGATAGTTCTCATTTAATCTTCACAATAACCCCCTAATAACATTCATCAAATGCTTTCATGTGCCAAACATTCCTGTGCTAAGAGCTTCAAGTGAAGTGAATAACATCTCACTTGATCCTCACAACAGCCTTGAAACAGACACCTTTTTTTTTTTCTTCTTCTTCTTCATTTTAAGGATAAGGAAATGGAGACACAGAGAGGCCAAGTGACTTGTCCAAAATCACTTTGAAGTGGTTTTAAAAAGTGGCAGAACCAGGACTCAAGTCCAGATTTGCCAGAATCCAGCACCTGTACCCTTCATCATAGCACTTTGCTTTCTTCTCTTCCTCCTAGTAAAGGCTCTGAGTTAAAGAGCTTGGGGCATTAAAATCCAGAGAAAGAAACTCTTCCTTATCCTCAAAGCCCTGGCTCAGTGTTTCTCAAAGCCTGTTCCCTAGGCCACCTGCATCAGAATATTCTTTGGAGTGTGTAAGAAAGGTATGTTCCTGGACCCCTCCCCAAGATTCTAACTCAGTGGGTCTGAGATGAAACCTCAGGTGGTTTTCATGCGTATTGAAGATTTTGAGTCACAGGACTGGCTCCAACAGCACCTCCTCCAAGATCCCCTATCCCCCGCCCCATCCCAGACATCTCTCCTTGACTCCAGCAGTGCCTCTGACCTACTCTTCACGTTCACCTGGAGTTTAGTTATGCTCATGTCTTCACTCCACCAAAAAATATGATCTAGTGTCTTTACTGAGATGACTACCTCTTTTTAGAAAGTACTTCAATTGTCCCACTTAATCCCCTTCTACACTGAGCATTTTTAGAGGAGGCCCTCCTCCTTGTGATCCCTCCCTTATATCTGAACACACTTAGCATTTTACAAGGTACTCTCCCGTCCACATCCACGATAACATTATTCTATTGTTTCATCCAATCCTCACAACAGTCCTGAAGGATGTATATTCTCCCCTTGGTACCAGTGAGAAAACAAACTCGGCCTTTCAGTCACTTGCCCAACTTGGCCAAGCTAGGAGGCGGCAGGGCTGGGATTTGAACCTAAATCTTCTAGCTCCAAACCCAGTACTCTTGTTTCCACAGCAGCTCACGCGTATTCTAATTAGTGTAGGGAAGTAAGCTTTGCCTCCCTATGCTATCAGAAGGTAGTGGGGATTAAATGAGATAATGCCTATTAGATGGCCTGGCACAGTGAGCATTCCATAATAAATGGTGGGGAGAAGGAGAAACTGAGGCCAGGGGAGGGGACATGTCTTCCTCCAAATCAAACACAGATCACAGACTGTGGACATAGCTTTAGGCCAGTCTCAGATGCTCCTCGTTGGGAGGTCAACTTCAGCAGGCTCGAAATCTCCGCGACTCCCGCAGGTCCCTCCACCGCCCAAGCCTTGCTCCCCGCGCTGTCTCACCAGGCGCCACCGCGCGGGCAACGGAGGAAGGGGACGTCCCTTTAAAGGAGCAGGGGGCGTGGTCACGAGGCGGGGCAGGAGGCGGGGAGCAGGCGCGCGGTCGCGGGAAGATGACGTACCCCAGCGTCCGGCTCTACGTTCCTTGGAGTGAGCATGTGGGTCTGCCGCACGCTATGGGAAGTGCGAACCCCGGCCCTGCTGCGGCGGAGGCTGCTCCCTGCCTCCGGCTGCCGCCGGCCTGCTGCCGCCTCTTACTCTGCATCTGCCGAGCCCTCCCGAGTCCGGGCGCTGGTCTATGGGCAGCACGGGCACCCAACCAAGGTCGTCGAGTAAGAGACAGCGCCGAAACGGGGCAAGGGGACTGGGGTTCTTGTAGGGTTTTAGGACGGGCTGTGGAGAAGGGGGACTGGGACGGGAGAGACAGGGTCTGAGGAAGAAGGCAGAGAATAATGGGGCCGAAACTGAAGCCCAGGGTACGTTTGATAGCTGAGAAAGTCCGTGCTTGAAGAAGTTGAGACCCGAGAGGCACAATTATAACGGTAATCGTGGCAGACGTTTATTGATCGAGTACTGTGTGTCAGGAAAGCCCTGTGTGAACAGATGCTCTCATTCAATCGTCACAGCAACCTGTGGGGCAGGTACTTGATGCAGCCTCATTTTACAGATGAGAAAACTGAATCATAAGACAGGTAAAATCACTTGCCCAAAGTGACACAGCCAGTAAGTGGCAGAGTCGGAATTTGAATCCAGGTCTGACCGAGTGATCTACCCAAGTTCTTACCTTCTATTATTTGTTGGAGGGGATTTTCAGAATACTTTTACGTCCATTTGAATATTCAGTTCTCAGTAAAGTAGGTCATTGTTTCCATTTTACAAAGGACAAGGGACTTGTCCAGAGTGCTATACTAATAAAGATTGGAACAGGGACAGGAATCCATGGCTTCTGATACCTATTCTCATGTGATTTCCTCTCCACTGTGCTGTATGTGTGCCTTTAATTATAAAGTGCTCCTATTTTGGAGCCAATACAAGACCTTTTTGATCTTGGACAAGTCACTCAGCCCCTCTGAGCCCTCATTACTTTTATAATTATGTCCTAAAATTCTCTTAGATCTTAATCAGTGATTTTTGCATGTGGCTGATAAAAGCAGAATGTGAATTGTCAACCATTATAAATCTGCACATAATTAGAGGTATACCTCGTTTTATTGCATTTCGCAGGTGTTGGATGTTTTGCAAAATGAAGGCAAAACCCTATACCAGCAATAAGTTTGCAACTCACTTTGTTGCGTGATCTGGAACTGAACCTGAAGTATCTCCTGTATAGCTATTCAAAGGGCTAGTGGGGTCGTTGTAGTGGAGCTAAGGTTAAAGCACTGATCTGGAAATCAGAAGACCTAGGGTCAAATCCTTGCCCTCCCTGTCCTAGCTGTGTGTTTGGCAAGTTACAGAGGTTCTCTGAACCTTCATTTTATCATCTTTAAAAATGGAGACAATACAATCATAGTTCACAGTACTGTTCAGCTGAGCAGTCTAATGCTTTCCACCAAAAAGTACCTACATACTCTCCTGCAGTCCCTGTTTACAACTTTTTTTTTTCTTTATTGATTTTAGAGAGAGAGGAAGGGAAAGGGAGAGAGAGATAGAAATATCGATGAGAGAACATTGGCCATCTCCTGCATGCCCTCCACTGGGGATCGGGCCCACAACCTGGGCATGTGCCCTGACTGGGAATCTAACCAGCGACCTCTTGGTGCATGGGTCGATACTCAACCACTGAGCCACACTGGCCTGGCCCTGTTTACAGCTTTTTGATTCCCAGCAAACGGTTTGATTGCTTTCCAGAGGATAGGCAAATGGAATTATTTTCACGGTTAGTTTGGCATAGCGATTAGAGCATCGGCCCAAGGACTGAAGAGTTGCAGGTTCAATCCCCAGCCCCGGTCAGGGTCATGCAGCAACCAACTGATGTCTCTCTCTCACATCAGTGTTCTCTCTCTCTCTTTCCCCCTCCCTCCTTCCCACTCTTTCTAAAAATCAATAGAAAAACATCCTTGGGTGAGGATTGACAAAAAAAAATAAAAATACAGGGTAGAGTGCTCATTTCATCAGCACATATACTAAAATTGGAACAATACAGAGAAGATTAGCATGTTCTCTGCACAAAGATGGCACACAAATTTGTGAAGCATTCCATATTTTTAGGTAAAAGGATTAAAGACAAGATGGATGTTTTGACAGCCCAAGGGGATAAGCCTCATGTAAATTCAAGGTCATTCACTCAGCCTAGCCACATCCACCGTTAGAATATTGAGACCAAAAGAATTTTGAGAAGCCTAATCAGTCAATAAACCCCAAATTGTATATTGCTCATAAGTAATAAATCATCAATAAACCCCAAATTGTGTGTTGATCATAAATAATATATTACTGTGAGGGCTGTGCTGTAATGAACTGGTAATGCTCTGATAAACACTCCTTTTCCAGGAATATACCCCAAACAGGAAGAATGTAGTGCCTCCTCTCACTGGCTTGTGATTTATGTGTCTGGTGCGGGGCCTGCCACAAAACAGTTGCTCCAAAAATGTTATGCAATCTGTATCTGATTTCAGTAAGAAGTGCACCTTTTATTGAGTTCTATGTGTGAGCAAGGCATCTCCGATGTTCAGGGACCCTGGGGAAAGGCCGAGGAAGGTTAGGCAGTTTGAGTGCCACTGCCTCCTGATTGCTCACCTCCTCCAGAGTGTCAGGGAGGCTAGAATGGATTTGTTGCAGATGCCGCTTAGGGAAAAAAGACAACTGTCTTGTTTCCTTGTATGGAACCCAAGTGATTTCCCAGAAGTTCAAAACATGATACTTCCATGAAGCATTGTATTCAACCTTGGCTTCACATCTCAGTCACCTATTGCACTTTTCAAAACTACATATTCCCAAGCACCACCCCTGAAGTACTTAGTAACTCTAGGGTGGCCCTGAAATCTGAGTTTTTTTTAAAGCTCTCCACGTGACTGATGCCCAGGCCAGGGTTGAGAACCATTGCCCTGTGGATATGGACTTGCAGGCAGGCAGGCAGTTCTCCCTGTGCCTCCGAATAGCAGCTTTCCCTTCTGACCCAGATTCAGGCAACTTGACTTGTTCGTGTATGGACTAAAGCCAGAGGCTGGGATTCTCTTCTTTGTAGTCATGTCTTAGGAGGTTTAGGGTAACCACACTGTCACAGAACGAATCAGGTGTCCTTTAAACATCCTAGTAACTGGGTATGTGGGTCAGGTTACACCAGGTAGGGTCATGGAACTACTCACAGTCCGGGCAGAGCGTTTCCCAAACTAGCCCGTGATGCCTGCACCGTGAGCTCTGGGAGCAGGAGGGAGGGAATGAGGAACAGTCTGCTCAGGTCTGAGGGGTGTGGAGCTTCTCAAAATAAGACCAGAGAGTTCCTGTTCTCATTTCAACATTCTGAATGTCCTTCTCTTCAGTTCTGTTGACCCCAAACTAAGCTCTTCCCTCCTCTACTAAGTCTTTCCCTGATATTTTAGAGTTTCTTTTCCCCCCAAAATAGACTCCCCTGTATACTTGGACATTTTTCATTTAAAGAATTGAGCTGCTGATCTAAATGAAGTAAGAATGTGCAGGAGAGCCCAGCAGGGTTGCTCAGTTGGTTGGAGCGTCATCCTGTACACCATAAAAGTTTCTGGTTTAATTCCCAGTCAGGGCACCTACCTAGGTTGCAGGTTCAATACCCAATTGGGGTGCATACGGGAGGCAACCAGTGTTTCTCTTGCACATTGATGTTTCTCTCTCTAAAATCAATTTTTAAAAAATATTCTTGAGTGAAGATTAAAATAAAAAGATGAAGAACCCTGGCTGGTTTGACTCAGCAGTTAGAGCGTCGTCCCACGGACCAGAGAGGCCCGGGTTCAGTTCCCGCTGAGGGCACGTACCTCAGTTGCAGTTTGTCCCCGGCCCTAGTTGGGGTTGTGTGGGTGGCAGCCACCTGATGTGTCTCTCTCATATCAATGTTTCTCTCTCTTCCTCTCTCCCTCCCACTCTATCTAAAAATAAATGCAAAAAATAATTTTTTTAAAAAAGATGAATGTGCAGGAGAAAATGACAACATGGGAGAATGACAAACATTCTAGAAATATCAGCGTTCCCATGGCCATTACCCCTTGTGCAGCGTTCTGGGTTCTCGATCACAGTGATTTTCAACTGGTGTGCTGCGGCAGGCACACTGGTGTTCCACAAGAATTTTTAAAACAGGCAATACCTTACTGTTTAGTCAGGGACACTGACATCTTTTCCCTTAGATTATCGAATTTTAAAAAATGGCAAAAGCTGCCCTGGCTGGTTATGCTCAGTGGTTAGAGCATCGGCCTGTAGACCAAAGGGTCATGGGTTTGATTCCTGGTCAAGGGCGCGTACCTGGGTTGCAGGTTCGCTTCCCAGCCCCAGTTGGGTTGTGCGGAAGACAACCAATCAATGTGTCTCTCTTACATTGATGTCTCTCTCTCTCTCTCTCTCTCCTTCCTTCCCTCCCTTGCCAATACAACAATAGCCGTCTGCTATGAATGAATCAAAATTATACCTATATTTTTGTCAAATCGTGAAAAATATGTATTTTTGTAGTGCTGCAGAATTTTAGTAATTAATTTATGTGCCATGAGATGACAAAGGTTGAAAATTGCTGCTCTATAAGATAGTTCCCGGATACTCTGATGTCCTCTTTCCTTTTGTTCCTGCAAATCCACTTTCAGAATTTTTCATTCTCTGGGTTTCGTGGTGAAAGCTGTTCTCATTCATTCTATACCTACTGTGTGGCAGGCATTGGGCCAAGTTCTCTAGATATGGAATTTAAAACTCACGATACCCCAGTTTGGTCACTGTTAGCCCCATTTTACAGATAAGGTAACTGAGGCTCAAGAAACTTGAGCCCTGACCAGTGTGGCTCAGTTGGTTAAGCATTGTCCTGTGCACAAAAGGTCACTGGATGGATTTCCGGTCAGGATACATGCCCAGGTTTTGGGTTCAGTTCCCAGTCAGAGTGCATATGGGAGACAACCAATTGATGTTTCTCTCTTCCTTCCTCCGTCTCTCTAAAATAAAGCAATGAAAACATATATTTAAAAAAGAACTTGAAAAAAAAAAGAGACCTGGGCAGTTTTGCTCAGCAGTTAGAGTGTCAGCCCTTAGACCATAGGGTCTCGGGTTTGATTCCAGTCAAAGGCACGTACCTGGGTGGCAGCTTTGATCCCTGGGCCCCCAGCTAGAGTCGTTTGGGAGGCAACCAATCCATGTGTCTCTCACACATCAATGTTTATCTTTCCTTTCC